GAGTATTATGCAAGTATGTATAGTGACTGTAGATTAAACAATTTTTCTGAGAGAGTCTTTGATTGAAATATGTATTATTTATAAGAATATAATTTATAGTATATCTATATAAACTTGAAACTATTAGATTATAAGAATACTATTAGAAGAATACTATTATAAGAATACTATTAGATTATAAGAATATAATTTATAGTATATCTATGTAAACTTAAAACTATTTGCAATAATTGATAGGAAAATAATTAAATTACGAATTGAATGATTAGAAATGGCTAAAAAAATTGCAAAAAATTTTATTCCATTATTTATTAAGAAACGTCAAATTTATGAAAAAAATTTCTGGAACTATTCTTTTCTGAGAGAGTCTTTGATTGAAATATGTATTATTTATAAGAATATAATTTATAGAACTTATATAAACTTAAAACTATTTGCAACAATTGATAGAAAAACAATTGAATGATTAGAAGTGGCAAAAAAATTGCGAAGAATTTTATTTAATTATTTATTAAGAATTTACGTCGAGTTTATGAAAAAAATTCTGGAATTATTCTTTGCTGTTTCTATTATTCAATTAATCCCTTTCACGGCCGAGCTTCCACTTACAATGATTCTCCAATTGATGAAGAGCGAGTAGTGAATCAATAGTAGTAGTGTACATTTAAAAAAAAACTCGATAAATCGCTGTAACCGCAACTCGACGTCATAAATTATACGCATAACGTGGCGAACAATTAATTATTCTCGCGCGATTCAATGGCGTATTTAAAGATAAACCGTGGGAACTCACCGCGGCGCCAATAAAAACGTTGGATTGTAAGAACGTTATCGGAAAATCGAATGTTCCTTTCGTATATAATGGCGCGTGCAGAGTCGCCGGCGAGTACCCGGCCGCAACTCGACATTACACACACACATACACACGCGCGCACGCACACACAATCACGCGTGCACATTAATAGCAATCGGTATCGAGAAATCGCTCGTTGCACGGAGATATATTAGAAATTTTTACGAGCGCGACTAGAAATGCCGAGCAGCTATAGACTGCGATATTTATCGTGGCCTATTATTGCTGCTTTCGCGCAACGGCGTATAGGGGTACTTACCAGTTGTATACGACGAGGCAGCACCGCTGGCCGAAGTATACGGCATTTTTTATGCCGCTTAACATGGCGTTATTCCGATGGGGAGTTAAAACGCCTTGTCATCTCTATCATTATAATTAATTTTTCCATAGCATTTCCCACCCCTCCTCTTTCTTCAAAGGAAAGTACATTCGCGCATCATTTATATTGATTTTTGTGCATATATTTCGATGAAAAATGACTAGAAATCTAAGAAATTCGGAATATTGTCCTATATATAGTATACGCCAAATTTAATTCTACAAAAAATTGAAATTTTTGCAATTTGACAAAGATTTTATAGGAATAATTTATTTCTCAAAGTATGAATTTAATGAGGAAAAGTAAATGTTGGAGAATTATGAGGAAAAATAAATGATGGAATTTTCTGCATGTATGCATTTGAGTTTGATAACATTGAGCGTTTAAATTTGTAATTGGAAGTTACTTAGTGTTTGGTTTGTAGCAAGTAATTAGAGTTCACTCATTATTTAGGCTCAGTAATTGGAAAACTTATTTTTTATCAATTTTCCACGCTCTGTTAAAATTCGACCTGCGCTTTATTATACGATTTGTTTTCGTTGAGGTTTCATCGTGTCGCTTCCGACGGGTTCTCGTCGGGGAAGCCGCCGTTTCATCGACGCATAATAAATGGAAAGGCCGCGTTCTTTAACGTGACAGTGAGTTAAACGCCGAACCGTAAATCGTTTCCCCACTCTGTATAGGAAAAGCGTATCCGGTGCCGTCAAGGCGCTCGCTCATAAATCACCGCCGCGTGCGCACTTGCGAGGGCCTCTGAAATCGAAGGATAAAAAAAAAGAGAGAGAAATATCGGACGAAGGAAAAATCGTCTGGTGCACCGTTGTGCGTTTGCCGATATCGAACCATATATGAAAGATATAACATCCCGCGGATGCATGTATTGGTCTAAATTAATGATGGAACGCTTTCAAAGCAACTAATAGAAGTTTACTCGAAATGTTTGCGAAAATCACACACATTCTCGTTCATGTAAGCGTATTACAAGTACCCCTATCGCGAACATTTAATTGATGCGTAAATCGATGCATCTTTGTCCTGCCGCATCGTGTGCTATTAGCGAGGGGTCGACCACTATGGTAATTGGTATACATTTCTTTAGAAATATATTGCTAGTGTTGCAGCAGTACAATACCATGCAATACGCTATCAATACATAGCAATACATTAGCAATACTTGGCAATATTGTGCGCAATAGGTGGCAATATTACATGAGGTAATAGATGGCAATATTACTGACAATGCGAAAGCAATATAATAGCAATGCTATACGGAAAGAACAATTTTACTGAATCCAGATCTGAAAATAATTTTTGTTCAATAATCAAAATAATTTTGTGGGAAAGTCAAAATAATTGCTAGAACATCAAAACGTTTTATAGCAATGCTTATCATTTTCAACAAGATTTTTTGGGGATTCAACAAGAATTAATTTTCAGATTTTTATTCAGCAAAATTTTTAAATTTTTCAACAAAATCGTTCTTTCCGTGTAGCAATAAAGTGTGTTGTATTGCCATAATTATAGCAATCATAGTACATTCTTTTAGTAGTGGTTGATCCTCGTGTACTTCTAGTTACAATTTCAACTCGCGATAAATTCTTAGCGGAAATCTTTTCAGGCGTCGCGCGTTTGGAGAACGTGATTACATTCTTACGGAAAGAACGATTTTGTTGAGAGATCTAAAAATGTTGCTAAAAACAGATCTGAAAATAATTTTTTGCTGAATCATCAAAATAACTTGTTGGAATCTTAAAAATGATAATTATTGCTATAAAACGTTTTGATATTCTAGCAATCATTTTGACTTTCGCACAAAATTATTTTGATTATTGAACAAAAATTACTTTCAAATCTCGATTCAGCAAAATTGTTCTTGCCATGTACTATTGGTATCGCGATTAGCTTACGATTATTCTCTCCAAGATTGCCGGTGATCGATCTATTTTTTTTCATCGACGGACCCGGAATAGACGAAGCTCCGTCGCGACGTCGATAACGTCCGACTGGCCGCGCCGATCACATTTAATTTTGATAAAGAAGATTTATAAACACGAGATCCGCTCGCGCGCGCGCACGTTGCCGATTGGTGCCGTTTCGCCAACGGTAGCGGTGGCGGCGCCGGCTTTTATTTTTCCAGAAATACGAAATCCAATTCTCGATAAGACCGGCTTACGTAGAAACTGCCCCGCCCCCTCTCTTTTTCATTCTCTTCCAGTCTATTCCTCATATCGCGATCGCGGAAACGCTATATCTCTCGCCAGCCGCGCTCGGGAATGTCATTCCGGAGAGAAGCGACGGGTGTTTCCCCCGAATATACGGCATTCTGACCGACTTATTTGATACGTGCGCCACTTAACGCGAATCGTTTTCGCGATTATGAAATGCGGGATTACATATTTCTTAAGCTGAATTGAATTCGCCAAAAATAATCGAATTCCTTTGTACAGTCCTCAATTTTTCCACAGAATTAAAATTATCTGTTTTTTTTCTTGCGATTTTGAGATTTGCATATCTATCAAACAGATCTACGGCTCTACGGAAAGGGAAAAAAAAGGAAAAACTTTTTACAAGACTCTTTAGAAAAAGAGGAACGTGGACAATCCGCTTTATTTGCGTGCACACGTGTTACATACAAACTGGAACTTATATGAATGGACTTGACTGATATCAATATTGAGATATTTTAATTATTTCGATTACACACGAGCGTCGGCGAGCGCGCATACAGTCGCAGGGAATATTTCGACGATATTACAAAACTTTTCCAGAATGCACTTCATTCCCCGGTGATGCAGCACGCATGCAACATTTTAATTAAAATGTTGGACAAACAAATGTTGATATAAATCAAACAGTCCAACGGTAGTCGGTAACTGGAGTGAAATTTATTCGAACATTTTCCACGTTCGCTTATACACAATGGCCGTGAGTATAATAGTTAATAAATAATATACATATGTATATAATATATTCTCATGCAGTGTTAATGAGTCTAAATGTTCACAATACGAATTCTAGTTTCGCTAAAGAATAATTACAATTGTATTTTTAATTTGAACATCGACGCTAATTACGCGAGCATACGTACGAAATGTTTATCAGTATGAGTCTATTGTAAAATTCCATTCACTTTACTTTACAAACAGGATACAAATAGAAATTGTAATAATTATTTAATTGCAGAATAATATACAATTTTCTTCGAAGACGTGATAAAAATATCCGTATTAATTTTATGAAAATTAAAAGCGAAAATTTTGCTAAATAACAGTTGTATTTTTAATTTGAACATCGACGCTAATTATGCGAGTTTATAATAGACTCGTACTGATAAACATTCATTACGAATGTTTATCAGTACGAGTCTATTATAAAATTCCATTCACTTTACTTTACAAACTGAATACAAATAGAAATTGTAATGATTGTTTAATTGCAGAATAATAAACAAGCCTCTTTCAAGATGTAATGAAAATATCTGTATTAATTTTACAGCGGAAAGAACAATTTTGCTGAATCCAGATCTGAAAATAATTTTTGTTCAATAATTAAAATAATTTTGTGCAAAAGTCAAAATGATGATTGCTAGAATATCAAAACGTTTTGTAGCAATGCTTATCAGTTTTAACATTCCAAAAAATTATTTTCAGATCTGTATTTAGCAAAATTTTTAGACCTTTCAACAAAATTGTTCTCTCCGTGTATGAAAGAATGTCCCAACAATTGTATTATAGTGGCGATTGTATTCACGAATTTATTAATAGCTATCCAACACACGGGTATTGCAGGTGCACTTAATGCTCATAATGCTCATAATGATGTTTGCAGGACCTCATGACGAAGAACAAGCAGCGATATCGATGGCGTTTGCTGGCCTGCGGCATCGTCATTATAATCGTGCTGGCCCTAGTGATCGCCGCGGCGATCCTTCTGACCGGCAGGCCGGATTCCTCCTCGTCCAGAAGGAACGGCGCACCGGGCATTTCCCTGGAGGAATGGCTCTCCGGTTCGTTATCCCCCAAGAGCTTCAACGGCACGTGGATCAGCGGTAAGCACTCTGCGCTTCTGTTCGCCCCGCGCGGCGTAAATCCTTTCTCTCGGTTCCGCGTGCCCTCCCCTCGAAGAAGAAGAAACCGCGCCGGAGAAAGGGAAGAAAGAGGGAAATGGAGCTCTGTCAATTTTATTTCCCGCGGATCCGACTTGCGAAATGAGCTCCTCCCCTTTAACACTCACGAGGTCTAATTAAGCTCTGTTACTCAAACGGGGATTTTGGAGCGCGAGTGACGTGCGTGGTTTAATACGTTAGACATGAGAGGTAACGTAAAGAGGAAGCTTGTTTAACGGATTGTTGCGCTCTTGTAGATGGATTCATTTAATGGGCAAACAAAGAGTGCAGATTAAACGCCAAGGTGCTTGATTAAATTGTGTCAAATATGGAGCCATAAATTGTCTGCTTTTTTAATTTACAGAAACTGCATGCATTAGTTTTTACGGATTACGCGATGCACGTGCAAAAATTTTTAACCGATCATCAAATGGACGATTTTAGCGTTGTGAATAATGAAACATTTTCGTGATTGATTCGCTCTTGTATTTGACGATCCGGGAGAGAAAAGGGATTTACAAAGAATTTGATTTTGTGTCATTTAATTGTACGTTTTTAGATGGCCTGAATTTTTTTTAAAATTAACCACAGCTTGTTTGTATGCTTTTCAGCAATGATAACGATTTCTAATTAATGGATAGTGGCTTCGTGGCGTAAAAATGGCGTTTAAATGAGATTCGAACGACATTAAAACTCGTTTGCCGATAACCGACGTTAATGTCGGTCATTGTTCGCGCTCATGTCGCGCAAATCTTTCTCCGTCCTCTCAGGGTGGGACGTTCTTTTTTTGTGGCGCGCTGGTTTCGACATGCGTGCAATTTTCCGGTTTTGCCCACGCGATAAAATTATCATATATCATAAATCTCGCGTGAGACAAGAGCCCGTTCCGGGTCTTTCCGCGACAGCGGAACGTCAAATTATACCACGTCAAATTATGTCACGAGCGTATGTCAGGTACATCGCGGATTTTTCTCTTCTTCCCGCTCCGCGCGCAACCCGGGCGAGGCGCGGCGTGCGGCGAGTCGTATTATGTAACATCAAAAGAGGATAATAAATGATTCACGGGCGACGACGCGTGGACGCGTAAAAGCGGATACAACACCGCGTCGACGAATATTTATATCGCCCCCTCCCGTTTTTTCGCGCGCGCGTGAATGACGCGCGACCGCCGAGGCATGAAGTTCAAACTAATTTTATATTTGAGGCGGGCGTCGGCCATTCTACTTCATTCGCGGATCCATTTGTCTTTGTTACGGCACGACCGCCGCCGACGTCGCTGTCGGCCTATAAATCCTTTCGTCAGGTCGGGAACAAAAGACGGGTTTTAATGGATTTAGGTACGCGCGCGGCCAGTATCTTCCTCCCTATCGCCTAATTCTTTTTGCCCGAAAACGTCACGAACCAACCCCCTCCCCCGCCTCTCCGCGGTCACCAACGTTTAACAGTCCTCCTCGCGGACGCACGGAGTAATTCCGTCCGGCGGTGAAAATCCGGTGTGGATTTACCAGGCGCCGGAGATCGAAATTAAACGCCCGAAAATTGTTGCGCGCGCACGCGTTTTTACCACCTAATTCGGCTCGACGTCGTCGACGCTGAGAACAAGCCCCCGCGTGAATATTAGGTCGTCCATTAAGGAACACCCGTTCTTGCTCATTTTTCTTGGTGTATTAGGTTTATGAGTTCCAGAACCCATAGATTCATTAGAACTCATTAAGTTCCTAACATTATTAGCGGAAATAATGTAATTTTGTTGGAATTGCATATTTCTACACAAATCTCGTTTAGGCATCTAATTGCTGTGGAAGATTTTTGTCCTTATTTTAATTAATATATAGATTATATATATATATATATATATATATATATATATATATTAGTTATGTAGGTTAGTTATTTGCAATTATTTTTTCTCATAAAACGCTTCTTTCGTTGAAAGATGCTTTTTTCTAGTAAAATCGGATGTTTCGAGAAATAATTCTGATACCTTAATATTGAACACGAATTTTATTAATTACATTTTATGAAATATTTTTATGAACAATAATGCCCTGTATAATCTGAAAACTCAAGAAATAATAATCTATAGTATCGCTGCGGAAGATTTTTGTCCGCCTTACTTTAATTAATATAATATATAGATTATATATTAATTATGTTATTTGCAATTATTTTTCTCATAAAACGCTCCTTTCGTTGAAAGATGTATTTTTAGTCTAGTAAAGTCGGATGTTTCGAAAAATAATTTTAATATCTTAATAGGAATTTTATAATTTGTTTTAATTTTGATATAATTATTATCTGATATAATTCTGATACTTTGAACGCGAATTTTATTCATTACATTATATATGAAATATTTTTATGGACAATAATGCTCTGTATAATTTTGAACACGAATTTTATTCATTACATTTTATATGAAATATTTTTGTGAACGATAATGCTCTGTATAATTTTGGAAGCTCAAGAAATCTAGCACTCACATCTGCGGATTTCGCTATGTTGTTTTTATTCGTCTAATATTTCTTCTTACGGCACATGCACTGTAAATCACACATTTCTTTTGAAGTTTCTTGTTTTTATTTCGTTTAAGTTTTTCCTCAATCTAAAACGTTGACCAAGTTTATTACTTTGTGTTTATAACGAAGATGTACGAGAAAAATATGTGAGAGGAAAACTCCTTCGACATTATAATTATAAATGCATGTAATTTTTAATGAAATATTTAACAATTATTCCATAACGAGAACCGAATATTCGGCAAATAATTGTCGAATGTTTTCATCACATCTCTTCACAGTATGTGCAAGAAAATTCATATTTATTTTCCTAAATTTATGACAATGTTCGAGCAATTTCCGATACATGCTACTTTATATGAATTATTTCAATTTTCTTCCTTTTAATTCAGAGTTATTTTATAAACTCTGCACAATTCTAATTACCGTTAAATAACGCGTAATAATCGCGAATTTGGTTCAATGGACCTACGTATTGTTGCGTAACTAACGGCGGTCGCATGCGAATCGATGTGAAATCATATATACGTAAACGGTTTGTCAATGAAATATTCGCCAGCTCGTCATATTATTCGGCGGTATAATTTATGCTAGGCATTACAATTTGAGGGTTAAAGCCTGTGCATTGCGGCAAGATTTCTGTATGACAGTTTTTAACACACGTACATATTGTTCATTGATACATTCGCAGTTGAATTTATAGTAAGCTGCAGAATAATCTTGCTAATTCAATATTGACAGAATTAGAGAATATTGTGTACTCCGCTTCCTACATCCCGTGATTTCGCTTAATGTAGCAGCGGTGCGATCTAGCTCCAATTTCGACGGTTATATCGGAGATATAGAATTGCTCCGCGATATTCGTTCGCGGCAAGAATTGCTGACACCGCGGCGCTGGTGAATTGTCTGTTTTGATGTCGCGGTGGTTGGTCGCGATGCACGTGCCGTCCAAAGTAGCGGTGTGCTGAAGACGAGAGGAGGAAGGGGAATATATTGTCGGAAAACACGTCGAACAGCCTGTCCTCCGAATTCTTTCTCGAAAACTGTTGAAACTCGTATTGACGTATGCAAAATTTTTGTATCGAGTCAAATTTACATTATATATACTGTTAAAGTTACGCGAGGAAGATCATCTCTTTTCCGTGACTTGAAAAGAGATGCGCGACACACGTCTTATTTAAGCGCAGAAAGTGTAAATGACTGCGCAAGTTGGTAACAGCAGATCTACTGTCGTATCTAAATGGAGATCAGTGTTCCGGCGGCACTCTCAGCAATTCTCATAACGATGATACACATCCGCGCATTCGTAGTGATTACGGGGCGAACAGCGAGATATATATTTTCCACCGATACCTCTCGGAACGCATCGTCGCGTCGATCGCGTGTAATTACCCACCGCGCCGGGCGGCGGCGCAGCGCGTGGAAGTAATGCTCGATCTGGAGGCAATTCTTTCTCCGCAATCCGCCTCTTCCTTCCCGCACCGGTGGCTCACGGCGATGGGGCGCCTCTTAAAAATTAACGAGCTCGAGTCCATTCGGGCCAAGGAATCAGAGAGACGCGCGTACAGTAAAGTGTATTAATGGCGCCTGCCCGGGGAATCCCCTTGCCATCTCGAGTTCCGCGCTCTCCTTCTGTGTCGCATTTATTCCGCATCCCCTTTTTCTCAACGCTCTCTCGGTTCTCAGTTTTCTTGTTAATAGCAAGGCTACGATGTTTTTGCTTCAAAAATTTCCAAGATAGAGTAAGATAGAAAAATATTTTGACGAAAAATTGTAAGGATATATAAAGATGCGGGGCCATGGAAAAAATATTAGAATTAAATCCATGTGGCGAGCAGTTAAATATATCTAAATGTGAATAACAAAATTGATATCGCGTCAATTTGACGGGCTGTATTTTTATTTCTTTTTTTTGCGTCACTGAAACATTTCATGCTTTATCTGTCCAGCTGCTCTGCATATATGTATGAGCATGTGCGCAATTTTATCGAAATTTAAATTTTTGGGATTGAGAATTTTCTGACGGCGAGCGTAATATGAAACTGTTATTTTTCACAATATTTGGAACAAAATGTTTCGTCGCGTTTGTATTATCTCGCCGTGCTAAAACGCGAAATTGATAAAAATTTATACTAACGTCAAAGTGCAGGTTCATGTTACGGCAGCTATGACATAGAATAAAATTGCATGTGATAGATGCGTTTTTTGACAAAGACAAAAAGTTTCATATCATTGGCACCCACTTTAAAGTAAAGATTAACTGAAATACGGATAATTCAGTTTTTTCGCGGCGTGTCGCACTGTTGTGTGAAAAGAAGAATAATAGAAGCGCAGGAGAATTGAAAGTTTAGGCGTTACTTTTCAATTGATTGAAGAGCAATCTATTATTATCTTTCTGTCTGCAAAATTTAACTCTTAAAAAAG